TTCATTCGAATCGCTAAAAGCATTTGGAAGAAAATTAAAATAAATTGAAAAACATGAAGACCGTCCGGTGAAGGCTCCGGTAGAAGAAATGAGGACTCCGGTAGCTATATGAAACAAAGCAGAAGAATCTTCTCCCGACAGCTGGAAGATATTTTTGAAACACCCTGTATAACGTACACTATGACATGAGTAGTAATTAATGAAATCCTCAAGGATTTCTCTCATCTATTAAAACGGGATAATCCAATTCTGATACCATTTATAACGTATGCAGTACAAATCTTAAGACAATAGCTACTGAATATAGATATCTTCTAGTACAAAAACAAAAGAGTATTATACTTCCAAGGAGTCGGAGAAGAATATCGTCAGTCGTCATCCAAACAATGACAGAGAAAACAATTTGTCTCTCACTATCATATTCTCTCATACAAACTTTACATATCTAAATGAAATCATAATTTATTTTTTAACGTAGTCTGGATTTTGTCCAGATTTCAGAACTCACTTGCCTGGAATTTCCACAACTATGGAAGCAATAATCAAAAATAAAAACCCCTAAGCGTTCTTGAACTATCTGAACTCGAGACACTTTTTGCCAATTTAAAAGAAATTATTTTACCATATTCTATAAATAAAACGTATATGGAAAAAAAGTAAAGTAATCTAGATTCTGATAGAAATTTTAATAGCGCTATTACTATATCCTGTACGCTATAATATCAGAAGTTAATATAATCTATGTAATGATAAAATTATTTACTTAATATAGTATTAAGTACCAAGAAAAGCACCTCTTACTTTTCAACGAGAAACATCAAATAAATAGCCTAGTAACCTAAATTTGATAAACGGCCTTAATGTAGAAAAATGCCAACACCTATTTAACATGCTCTTGTTTTTGTCTGATTACTTTAACCATGATGTCAACCAAAAAAAAAGATTTTTCAAAAATCCTACCCATATTACTTTTTGGTTCCGTTAAACTTAACAGTATTAGGTATATCCTATGGATTATATAATAGCTTCCACTTCTAATTAAGTAAGCATTAATAATAGTTTCCTGACTGAAAATACGAATTAATTTATTTAAGAAGATATTTTATCACTTTGAGAAACTTTCCCATTCGTAAAGTATAAAAATAAAAAAATTACCTTTTTAAGAAACAAAAAAATGTAATAAAAAGAGCTGTCAAATGGGCTTACCCGCGTAAAACTTTTACTAGGTTACCTTTGCAGTCGCATGAAAGTAATACCTCTATCATTATAGAATGTATCGTATAATTAGAAACTAAACAGGAAGAAAATCTAAAATAAACAAAATTTGATCAACTGAGCTACTTAAAATGAGCTAGATTCTTGTTCAAGGTCGAATGGTTCTGACAAGAATTAAATTAAGCCTGATAAATACTTCCAGTCAGATCTATCTGTTATTAAAACCAATCAATAACTATGAAAAGGAAACAGACTATCTAATTGAATTAAAAATATATAAATTGTTAGAGCGTCAGCTCTTTTTTAATTTTAAATCGGTTATAAACACATTTAAAACATTCTCAAGACTTCAAGACGATGCACTTTTTTATAATCATATAATCCTAGTTCCGTCATAGAAAAATATTAAACATCTGCTGCAACGGTATATTAGCACTATAACCAAATTAACAAATACATGTTTACGTCTGACTAAAGTAATATGCAGTAACATATTGAAGCATGGTGTAATTTTCTTTTAAATTATCCTGTTGGCACAGAAACTTCCATTTAATATCGCATGTTACATATACTACAAAAAACTAGGCTTTCAAGAATAGTTTCCCCTAAAAGTATTTTTTTTAAAGTATTTATTTTCATGGTAAAATACTTTTTCCTACGGTGGTGAACAGTTCGATCAAACAGAATTAAGAATCCTGTATAATATCTTTTAAAAGTTCCAAATACGCTGAAATAGTACAAAAAATACTTTACATTCATATTCATAATTTACTTCAAAACCATTTATTACTAGGGTTTCCATATGTCCGGATTTACCCGGACATGTCCGTGATGGTTTGGCCGAAATTTTAAAAAATGTCCGGAAAATCTAAACGTAAAAACACTTTGTAGAATATTTCAATCCTTACGATGTCACATATCTATTAAACCAGCATTGTTCGAAAGTAATCATATTTATCTGATTAATATTTTCGTTTTCGGGGCACTCGTGAATGTGAATTGTAAATTCGTTTGTCTTCATTTTGTTGTGATTACGTATACCATAGGAAAAATACTTTATTTTCAGGTAGTTTTCAATACTTTTCTATATATTTAGTCATAAAAATGAACCATTTGAGCCAAGGCATGAATGTTAATAAAAATAACTAATATTGACTAATACTATTTTTGCAGTAAATAAGAAAATTTATGTACGAAACGTTATATCTGAGATAACAGTTGGTTAGCTTTAATAAGCTGGAAGAAAAGAACCATATTAATAACAGTTAATTGCCCACAATGCCTTCCATTAGTGATAACAATGTCTCTATCTTATTTCTCTCATTCGAGGCTCACTTTGTTTCAACATATGGCGAAATATGCCTCGGCTGGGTAATTTACTGGCAGTTGCGAGCGCCTATTGATGATCTGCGGTGCATGGAAAACCTAAATTTCATCATCGGATAGTAGAATTCTAGAGCGCACAGATTAGAGAAAATAAACACATAAATTAACTTGGGATTTTTACAAACTCTATGGGCTTGCGTGTCTTCTTTCGAATACTATATAATTACGAGCGATCTTTCTAGACTTGTTCCATACCAGCACAAATCCTGTTCAATGGATGCATATAGCATTTTATTTTGAAAAAACTATAAAGCGAGTTTTCGCGTTCATCAAGTTGCATAGTTAATCTAGATATCTTAATCTGGCAAAATTAGTTTATTTGCAAGGCAGACAATAAGTTCAGAATATTTTTCTTTCAAAGATTTTTATAAAAAAATAGATTTTTTTGATTTTAATTATTTTTCTTTTAAATTTTAATCGTATTTTTTTTTATTTTAAATAATTTTCTATTTAAATCGGATTTCCAGCTAATTAACGACTTATTTCCAGTTAAAGTCTTATCCTAAATGGCTAAATCTTCGTAACTATGCCCGATATTGGTAATATTAAAATCTTTACGGCATCTATCGTTTTTCTTGTAGATGTTTTTCGACATCAGTCACCGATATATTTTATCCTGTAAACTTTGACGATGCCCCTATTTGCCCTATGCGGTAGAAATTTGGAAAAAACTAGAAGAAAAATTGGAGAAGGCAGAAGTTTGACCAACATACAGCTTTTTCAAAAGATATAAAACAGCCTTGATACCAGCCTGTTTTTTGACATTGATTGTAGATCCTTGAAAATAAAAATAAAACCTAACATCAAGAGAAACTAGTTCTGCACTAGAGTTTGCGAATTAAATATATTGGAATACCGGATTTCTGCCATTTCACGATTTCAAAAAATACTATTCATTAGAAGTCTTAATGAATTCACACAAAATTACTTCAAAAATCGGTCCAATATTTTTAATAGAAGAATAAATATTAACTAGGTATGTGTCATATCTTTTACAATTAGCATATAAAATAATAATTTGATTTAAATTACGATTTAAATCTTATTTAGATCATCTTGATTTAATAAATCTTTGCACCCTGATTATTAGAAATATGAAATTATTAGTAATATTAAATAACCTATTTTTATGTCCTATTTAATATCCTAGTTTCTTTGACAAAAAACGAAATTTCCCGAAAAAAAATATTGTTGAATTAATTTTTTTACTGGGCATTTCGGACATATGGAAACCTTATGGCTAGGCGCTGATTTTTATATATGAAGCTGCGCACATATACAATCGAATAGTCGGCCAATCGGCTGCATAAGGAAATGATTTTGTCACTACTGCAACTAAATAATCGGCCGACCTGAAAATAGATTTCAGCGCCTAACCTAATAGGTGTACAGGACACATTAATAATGTATAATGTGAGTTAAATATAATTAAAAAAAAACGTTTCCTCTTGCGTAATTATACAGGTCTTCAGACTGCAGAATAATCTCCGGTAATGAATGAAGTGACGTGTGTTGTATAACCCTTTATAAAACATCGTTTTAATACTTCAATAAATGTAAATCTATTTTTTTAGATCTCATATTACTTTATTTCGGAAGTTCTATGAAATTTTAATTAATAATTTCCTTTGGGTTAGTTACTAAATTTTTATTTATGGAACTTCAATTAGGATACAGTTTATTATAAAATAAATATAAAAAAAATATTAGAAAAAGTTAAACGGTAAAGGAAGAAATGGTACCTGCTATACCAAAAGGACTAACAATAAGAAAGCCATTAAACAAAGAGTAACCATTATACCAAAACCTTAGAAATCAATAAGAACAAATGTGAGAAAATAATGCAGAAAGAAACAGATACCTATAGTTACAAGAAATAAAAACAGTTTTTCAAAATATTGAGGGTTATAGTGGTTAAGTTATTGTTGTGAAAAAATCAGATATTTTATATTTTTATATTTATAGTTAGGGGGGGGGGGTAGTATAAGAAGTTAATTGTCCTTGGTCCTAAGACAGTGGCGCATTAAATTTTTTCTGTGGAAAAAATAAATTTAGATTGGTCTGGATTGTCTATTTTGATTAATACTACTAATTTTTCTTTTGTGAAATTTTTAAATCTTCTTTATAAATTCCTGGAAGGGGTATTTATTCCCTGAGATACTCCCATTACCACTCCTGTATATGTGCCCTTATTCCCTGTCCTAAGACATATTATAGTTTTTTAATAAGTTATTAATGATGGATACCGAAGATCGGATTAAATTTGACAAAAAATCTAAGTACCGGATGAGATGCGATTGGTGGTTCCGAGTACGGTACCATTTGATAGGAAGTAGGTTAGCTAAGCTGTGCGGCAGCCGTTCGCGTACTCAACTTACACAGTGCATAAAGCTCTTGCGGCACAGACGTTCTTCAGCCTTCGATAGTAGCAGCGGCTCTAGCTCTCAAGGACGCTCGCGAATAAAACGAAGTTGGCCAGGCCGGTCCGCGACATTATACCACCCTTAGCACAGAGCAAAGAAAATGCGCGTCCTGATCGTTCTGAGTTTGTTGTGCGCGGTCCAGCCCCAGCATGTCCAGTCCCAGTCGAAATTCTGGGACTATTCTCAGCGGTTCCTGTCGAACTTTTTCCGACACGGAAAGAACGTCGCAGCGACCGGTACGACCACCGAGTCGGTCACGTACATATCCACAACTGCTCCCAGTACTACCCCGGTTCGACAGACACCGGAACCGTCCACTAAACCCACCACGACAACCCTTCAACCCAAAGAAACCTCGACGGTATTTGTCAGTAACAAGACTTTAGCTTCTCAAACCACCCTCACTACAATTGTGACGACAACTATTTCGTCAACGTCTGTTTCCGATTTGGAATTAGGGAAAAATAATTTCTCCACTTTGACCAGCACAATAGCGGGTCTCAGTACGATCGAAAGCAGTACTGGAAGCACGATTATTGACTCGACCACCCCTGATTTCATTGCAACCACTGGCGAACCAAGAGAAAATCCAAACTCGCATGAGTTCTACTTGTCAACAAGAAAAGAAAAACCTCTGATTAAACTTGCAGCAAACATTAGCCAGGTAAGTTAAAACTTCATCAATGAATAAATAATAAAGAGATTAATTAAAAATATATATCTTTTAGAGCTTAATAGTAAAATTAAGTTCAAATTGCCCTTTTTACGCAATTTTAAATTTTACAATTAAATATGCGTTGCAAAAACGAAATACATTACATCTGAAAATTGTAAAAAAAGCCGTATTGGGAAAATATATCGGAAAAAATGATATCTGTAAAATGTTATTTGATAAAGATGGGGTGATATTTTTGTTAAAGGACACGGCCATCTTAAGAAACTAGTACACAATATATGAGTCGTTCATTGTACAGATCGATTAACCCCAAAAAACAAAAAGTATTGCCGTCTCTCTCTCATCTAAAAGTATATAAAATTAATAAGAAAGAACAGCCAAAAATTAATCATCAGAAATGTTACAATTTTTATGTAACTGGTGGAGTTATTGGCAAGTGAAAAATATAAATATTCAGTGCTAAATTGTGATAAAAGAAACTGTGATTATTTTTTTATCAAAAAAAAACAAATTATTAGATATTTTTATTACAGATTTTTTTATAAATATGAATAATAATAATTCTATTATAATTAGTGATTAATTTTTCTGCAATTTTGCTGAAGATGCGATGCCTTCTTCATCATCATAATATTGATGATTATTCTTAATAATAATAAATTTGACTTTACAATTATTTGATTTGCGACAACTAGACTGTAAGCAGCTGCGAGTAACTATTTTTTTTACTTTTAGCCTAATAGGAGGGCACTAAAAAATCACTGTTATCATTAATTAATAATCACTGATTTTCATTAGAGCGCGGAGTTAATCAAAGTAGCCTCTGAAACAAATTATTTATTATTCAGTTGCCAAAAATAATTACTATTTAATTTTTATAAGTGGACTTAATCGATTTGAGCAGTGAACGGCCAAAATGTTAATCAAATACATAGCATTTTCCTTCAAAATCTACAGATATTAAAATGCAGAAAATCTAAAATGATGGGTATTCTCAGAAATAGGTTATATGCAGTTATGATTATTATACAAATAATATATAAATATATATTATTTGTATAATTATTTACTGGTATAATCTACTAAACAATAGGTTATTGTTCTTTCAATCTATTTCATTCATTTTCACGTATCGAGAAAAGCCTGACCTTTTTTATCTTAACATTAGCCACTTAAATTCAAGACAAAACTTAAACTGACTTTGTAAAAAAGAATCTTTATCAATATACGAAAAAAATAATGTTGGATGTTGCGGAAATGATACGTCTTCGCAACAAATCTAATTTAAATTCTATGCAAAGGGGATGTACAAGATAAATGTCGGAGTTAGATTCACCAGCTAATCACAGGAGTAATTAAATCAATACAAAAGAGCTAATTAAAAAGATAAGGGAATGGCGAATATTCAGATGCACGCTATAAATATGCAAAAGAATTATAAATAAAACATTTTTCCAACTTTCTGTTTTTATATTAATACCACAATTGAGTACGATTATTCTAAAAATAATCGATCTTTCCTTACTTAGTGGTCTTCGAAATAATTAAAATTGCTAAAGGAGTAACCTGTTCAAAACCAGATTTATATGTACCTCAATTTCTTTAAAAAAATCTTGTCTTATTATTTTTAGTAATAGCCATGTCAATTTGATGAAACATAAATCGATTTTTTAGCTGAACATTCATGTCCAATAATTAAAAAAAAACATGAGCTGTTTGTTTTTGTTAAATTACCTCTTAAATGCAACGATATCATTTATACAACTCTAAAGTTATTCCATCATATAAATCGTGGTTGCGTATACGCAATTGATAACTGGAAAGTCAACTTCTTACGAAAGCGTAGAGCTGCCATACCAACTTTGAAAAATTTTTTTTGCAAAATTTACGTTTTCTGTACATTTTTTGTGTAAATTTATAGAAAAAGTGCAAATTTTGCTAAAAATATTTTTCAATGTAGCCATGGCAGCTCTACGCTTTCGTAACTTCCAGGGCAGTTAATCCACAAATTGTTATTGTCATATCGTGTCTCGATTTTGATTCGTACTTTTTTTCTAATGAATATAGCAGCGGGCTTCCTGTACAGGGTGAGCCAACGATAAAGTTCATTATTTCATTTGCTTTGAATTATGAAAAAATGTTAAAGAGAAAAAATTTGGAAAAGGTTATAGGATACACAATTTAAAATTATTTTTTAATAGGTATAAGGTATACAGTTTTCTTGAAAAAAATGTATCGGATATAAAATAATTTAATGTTTTTTATAAAATACAACTTCATATTTTTAGATTCTGCGTTTAATATTATATACCTAACACTAGTAATTTAGTAAAACTATTTGTTTAAAAAAAATAGCTAGAAAATTGGCAATGACGCTATTGCAAAACCTTTCAGCTTTTGTTATTAAAATTATTATAAATGAACATTCAATATACATAAATGAAGGGTTATAAAATCCATCGGCAAAAATAATAATAGGTATATAACATTATATTATACCGGGTGCGTCTCAAAAGTGGCTCACCCTTACTTTTTTATTTTTTCAGATAAAAGAACGGGATTTGGTATGTTAGTATATGACATAAATTAGGATTGATTGACGTATTCAATTGTTTTCGGTCACTTCCTATTTCACCGGAAATGACTACAACTTTTGATTTTTAAATGGCACCCTCGATATTTTTTTAAATTATTCGATAGAAAATAACACTCAATCAAATGACATATCATATGCCAACTTTTGACATATTCGCTCAAAAACAAATTGTATTTTAAATTTCAATCTAGATTACAAATACTAATATTTAATCAAGGAGCCTTGGAAAAATAGATTTGATCGTCTAATGTTTTTAGTGTCTTGTCCTGACCGGTTAAAAGATGCCTAAATCGTATTTTTAATCATATCTCAATTTTTTCAAATGGAACGAGGGTGGCTCATTAGCTTATTTGGAAAAAGCATTTTTTTACGAATAATTTGATACCACACACTTGATATTTCGAGTCAAATTGTCGTTATGCACCGCATATTATAATTTCAAATAAACCATATGCGAAAATGTCAAAAGTTGACATATGGTATGTCATTCTATTCAGAGTGCCATTTTCTATCGAATAAAGTAAAAAAATACCGAGGGTGCTATTTAAAATCCAAAAGTTGTAGTAATTTCCGGTGAAACCGGAAGTGACCGAAAAGAATTGAATATGTCAATCAATCCTAATTTATGTCATATACAAACATACCAAATCTCGTTGTTTTATCTGAAAAAATAAAAAAGTTATAGAGGTGAGCCACTTTTGAGACGCACCCGGTATAGGATTAAAAAATATGGGGTTGCATTAAAAAACATGTTACATTCGTCACAGTTTTTGAAAGCACTCTGTATATTCAAAAATTAATTTTGAATCGTGTACCTTAACATTCGCCTAAAATTTTCTATTTAATATTTTATAGTAATCCGAAAAAACGAGATAATGAACTGTTATTATCGTTGACTTACCCTGTAGTTAACTATTTATCGCTTGCTAAGTTAATCCTCCGGGAAATGTAGGTTAGAATCGAAAATCTCGTGGTAAACAAATTCACCTGTCGCATATGATTGAAGTAGGTCTATGCAATAATTGCTGGTTGCGAGTAAAATTCAGTCTTATACAGTTAATTTCTAGAAAGGTGTCCGTATTTCGTATTTCTCATAACCGTGAGGCCTTATGCCATTCGTGACCTCTCCGAATCGAAAAATGAGCAACAACGAGTTAATATTAATCGGAAAAAAATCATCAGAAAACAGCTCCTCTACTTATTAGTACTAATACATTATTCATCTGTTGCATACAATCATTTCACTCGCTTAATTCTAAGTCGGCAAGGAGATACTTGTTAAGCGTCTACTTGTTGAGTATAATTCCTGTTTTAATTGCAACAATCTGCATTTTAGCAAAAAATAATCCTTATTAACTACATATAACACTGAAAGGCGTTACAATTAAATACGTCTGAGTTATAAAAAGGGTACGATGATCCAATCTAAACCACCTCATCAGTTCAGTGCTTTTTTAATTAAACAATAGGATAATTAATCAGCACTGGATTATTTCAAAGAAAGTAAAGTAGATTTTATAAATAAGAAAAAAACTACCAGTCCTAGCACTTCCAGCAGAAGCGAACACCTCGACTTTGTAAATTTCAGAATTTAAATCGCGTCTGAAATATTTAAATACATGTTCGCAACATTCACGACATGTAAAATAATCCACACTAAACTATCTTCATGTTTATAATAAATTGTTATAGACAACGTTTAGGAATTCGTATATCATTTAAATAGATATCTTGAAACTAGTAAGATAAAACAGTCTGTTTTATTCAAAATTTAAGACAAAATAGGCAACTGTGAAGGTAAACGAACTGAGCTATTTCAGAAACTTAGCGAAGAATAGTGAAGGGTTTTTTGTAAAGTGAAGTCTCATCTAAGCTAGAGTAATTTTGCAAATTACGGGTTACCATTTCATTATGAGTGACGTATAACATAAAGGCTGATATTTTCCACATAGTTATCATCGTATTTTACTATGTTTTGCGTAAATACTATTCCTAAGCATTAAATATGATGAATATGGGCAGTGCCTCGCATTATCCTGTCAGCTATATTTAGAAACCGTTGTTTAGAATCGTAAAAACATCGACTCCAGACAATAAATCCCGATATATCGCATAAAAGTCAAAAGCAAACTCTATTATCCACTCAGATAAATCTGAACATATTACTGTAATTATTTTATTAATTAAACCAAATTCATTAGAGCGAAGATTTGTGTTATCTGATCATAAGTATTTTTCTTTCTTCTCAGCCATAACGTAACTTGATTCAATCAAGTGAAAAAGAGTGATTGGTCATCATCGTATGTTAATAAATCCAATACGGCTAAAATGGATACTTGGCTAGTTTTAAAACTAAGCGCTGGTATTTTGAAGGCGAGCATTGTTGCAAAAT